CCCTAAAGACGCCAGATCCATGGGTAAATAATACACATGAAATCGATGAAAGTCGGGTAATTTCTAAACTTTTGCTTGTAAATGATAAAATATGCATGAAAAAAAAGGGCGGGACTATACGTATAGCTTCCCCAACACATTATGGAAGTCCTCATATTATTTTTCAGAAAAAATTTATGAGTTCCCCAAATGTGCTAGATTCATGGGCTAATACACACGAAATCGGCGAAAATTGGGTAATACCTAAAATTTTGCTCGTAATTAAAAAAATATGCATGAAAAAAGTGTCGATGTCACGACTCAAAGTACACCTAGGCGTAACATAGCGTATGGGACCCCGAGAGGCCTTACACAATTCACTTAGCATACAAAAACAAGATAGTAGAAAATCAAGATATTTTAAAAGACAATTCATATCAAAGAGTTCTATAAAACAAAACGGAAATCTACATAGTCTCAATAGCCATCTACTACATCAATAGTGACCAGGACGTAACCCTAAGATCACGTACAATATCTGAAAGTAAACACATAATGAAATAAAGGCTTGGTCTTCGGAACATAAGGACTCACCAATCTTCAATATCTACTAAGAAATCCCTAGCCACGGATATGTAAATCTGGAACGTCTGACCCTACATTTGGGAAAATATAGGCAAGAGTATGTGTTAGTACAAAAATGTACCAAGTATGATAGCAATGCATAAAGATATAAAATCATGCTAAAAAGAATCTTTCATGCCATGCAAAGACCAAGTTAAAACCACAAGAAAGAGGTTAGAAAACATCATAATAATCATGGTCAAATGCAAGTGAAACTCATATTTTAAACACTTGTAAACATACTTCTTGAAGTAACCTTAGTTCATCATTATGCTTATTGTGGGAAATTAGCTTTAACCGACATAGAGACCATGTGAGCTATAACATGAAACCCGATGTTCTTTCCACACCAAAAAGAGGTGTTCTCACTTGCCTAGGTAAGAACCATGAACTTCTAGCTTATGTAGATCTACTAACTAATGTCTATCTAGACAACCTATGTTGGTCCATAGTTTATTGGACACATGTAACCGCCACTTATCCACTCGGTACTAAGTTTAATTCCCACGAAATACTCATTGATCATGTTCATCTTATCTTTAAGTGTCATGGGTAATCTCATCTTGCCTTACCCTATGGGGATATGGATAATCGCCTCTTGTATTTCATTAGAGGACATGGGTAATCGCCTCTTGCCTCATCATTAGAATAGCTCCTTATCTTTAATTCGTTTTAGGTTGAGAAGACCTTTCAACCTTAGAATCCTTCATATTCATGTATTGAGTAATTATGTGAGAAACTCTTTCACATCAATCAACAACAACACTTTATGCTTTACTCTCAAAGCTACTCAATCATATTTCATCAATTTCATAAGAACATGCATATTTCCATAATTCACCCTTCATAGTTCAACATCCACTTTCAATCATCAAAATCTAGAAAACATGGGTTAAACATGGGTTCATGGGGATTCATCTTAAAATCATTGAATTATCTCAATTCATGCATAATACTTCATAAAACAATCAATTATATCAATATAAAAAGGAACCCATGACGTAGAAGAAAACCCTAGCTTCAATTGGGAATTTCTAACTTCAAAATTAGGGAATTTAGGAACTCTATGGAGGAAAGAGTTCCATAGATGAAGACTATCATACCATAATACCACAAGCTTATATTCAATGGTGGAATTGGAGACTTGGAGAGGATGAACTTGTTCTTCTTTTAGGAATTTGAGAGAATGAATTGAATTTGGTTAGTTTTGGGGTTAAAACCTTTATATAGGGTTTTGAGTAAAGGGTAAAATGACATGGTATTGAATAAAAATAATTAGGAAAAGACCCAAAAGCCCATGACTTAAAACTGACGGATTGTACCTCACGATGGCTTCATGGCCCATCAAAGGTTCCACGGGCCGTTATGGCCGTCGTGGTCCTTGACCGGTGGCAAGGGGAGGGACCCCTTCCTAGTGGGCCATTTGACGACCCCTACCACGGCCCGTCAACCTCACCATGGGTCGTCTAGGCCTCCGTAGGAAGGAGCTGGCGCTGACAATTCTAGCAAGCTTTCACGAGCCTCATAACGGGTCGTGGTCCCCTTCACGGCCCATCAAGGAATCCGTGGAAGGTCCCATGGCCCAGTTTTGGGCTGGTGACTTGCCTGTTTGGCCCCTCTTCTAGCCTTCCCGATTCCGAGGTGTTACCGTCAACAGTATATGTAATGCTTCCCTAACTTATTACAGAGATGCGTATATAGTTTTTTTTTTTAAAATTAAAATTATTCATAAATCGCACTCGTCGAATTCATTTTATTCATCGTTAGTGATCTTCAATGCAGTTCTTTGTTTTCTCTCTTAATAACATTATCTAAATAGTAATTAACAAATAATTTCTATCATTATACAAGAACTCCACTTTATTGCATATATTTTAACCACTTTATGAATTTAGTTATTCTCACATAAATACACATATCTCAAGCATGTGCTAATACACACGAAAAATAGTAAAAGTCGGCTAATTCCTAAAAGTTAGTTGTAAATGCGATAATATTCGTGAAAAAATGGTGGGACAATACGTAATGCATCCCCAACTCATTATAGAGGTCATTTCAGAAAAAATTTATGGGTGTCCCCAAGGCGCTAGATCCATGGGCTAATTAATACACACGAAATCGACGAAAGTCGGGTAATTCCTTAAATTTTGCTCGTAATGAGAAAATATGCTGAAAAAATGGTGGGACTATACGTAATGCTTCCCCAACTCTTTACGGAGATTCTCATATAGTTTTTTCAGAAAAAAAAATACAATTGTTCATAAATTGCATTTGAGAAATGCGTTTTATTCATTGTTAGTGTTCTTCAATGCAACTCTTTGTTTTCTCTCTTGATAGCATTAACTAAACTAGTAAGTAACATACATTTTCTATCATTACACAAGAACTCCACTTTATTGCATATATTTTCACCATTTTATTAATTTAATTATTCTCACATAAATACACATATCTCAAACATGAGTTAATACAAGCAAAAACTGTGAAAGTCGGGTAATTTCTAAAAGTTGGCTTGTAAATATAAAATCTTTGCGAAAAAAATGGTGGACTATATGTAATGTTTTCCCAACTCATTACGCAGGTCCTCATATATTTTTTTTAGAAAAAAATTATGAGTGCTCTAAAGACGCCAGATCAATGGGCTAATACACACAAAATCGACAAAAGTCAAGTAATTTCTAAAACTTTACTCGTAAATGAGAAAATATGCGTGAAAAAAATGGCGAGACTATACGTATAACTTCCCCAACTCATTACAAAGGTCCTCATATAATTTTTCAGTAAAAGTTTCCAGGTGCCCCAAAGATGCCATATTTATGACTAATATACACGAAATCGGCGAAAGTCAGGTAGTTTTTAAAATATTGCTCGCAAATGAGAAAATACGCGTGAAAAAAATGTTGAGACTATACATAATACTTCTCCAACTCATTACGGAGGTTCTCATATAATTTTTTTCTGAAAACATTTCAAATTGTTCATAAATCGCATTCGTGGAATGCAATTTATACATTGTTAGTGATCTTCAATGCAGCTCTTTGTTTTCTCTCTTAATAGCATTAACTAAACTAGTAAGTAACATACATTTTCTATCATTACACAAGAACTCCACTTCATTGCATATATTTTCACCACTTTATTAATTTAATTATTTCACATAAATACACATATCTCAAGCATGGGCTAATACACACAAAAAACTGTGAAAGTTCGGTAATTTCTAAAAGTTGGCTCGTAAATGCAAAAAATTTTGCGAAAAAGACGGTGGGACTATACGTAATGTTTTCCCAACTCATTACGGAGGTCCTCATATACTTTTTTCAGAAAAAAAAATCAGGGTGCTCCAAAGGCATCAGATCCATGGGCTAATACACGCGAAATCGGTGAAAGTCGTGTAATTCCTAAAATTTTGCTCGTAAATGAGAAAATATGCGTGAAAAAAACAGCGGGACTATATGTATAGCTTCCTTAACTCATTACGTAGGTCCTCATATAGTCTTTCTAGGAAAAAAATTCGAATGCCCCAAAGATGGGGCTGGGCATATTATGGTTCAAACCGAAAAAACCGACTGAATTGATTTATTTTTTAATTCAGTTTCTGTTTGTTTGGTCGGTTTAGGTTATTAATTCTAGAATTTCGGTTATTCAGTTTGATTTTTTATTTTTAATTATTTTAATTCGGTTAAACCGAAATTAAATTGCACTATACTTACAATGTACAATTTACACTACACATGCCCAATTGAAAGGTTCAAATGTGGCCCAATTGAAAATTATGCCCAACCCAATTTCCAAATGGTCCAATGATAAGTCATAATTTAAGGAGTTTCTCGTCTCGTGTGTGAACTATTGTGTCCCAAATCTGAAAATTGAAAACCCAAACATGAAGCCTCTCGTCGACGGGACGACGTACAATGTCAACCCACAGGCCACAGGTTCATCGTCAATTTATTATTAATTTGTCTTGTCAAGTTGGGATTGAAAATTTGTGTATCATTGTTTTAATGTTTATTAAATTTGGCAAAATCGAAACCGAACCGAAAATGTGAAAACCGAACTGAACCAAATTTATTCTGGTTTGGTTTAACATTTTCACCAAACCAAATCGAACTGACCGAACGCGCAGCCCTACATTTGACAGATCAAATTGTTCACTTGAAGACAATTCAAATATTTTGTATTCCTAATAAATTGCACGAGTACAAGCTCTCCAGACCCACGACATGATTAACAACAACTAATACTACTACAACTAAACCTCAACCACGTTGAGATCGGCTATATGAATCATCACTATTCACATAGTGGACTATACTAATAATAAGAAAAAGGTATATGTTGTCTGTATCAAGACAGGTTATAATGCAGCATGCATTGACAGCATCAACATGAAATCATTGGAAATTTGCAACGAGACGATATCCTTGGAAAGTTCAAGACAAAAACGACGATGTATTTGTGTTAATGGTTAAACAAGTCGAATAAGACCTGCACAAAAAAATGTATACAAATGCTGAAATCAGACTATGGAACAGAGGATGACAGGTTCAAGCCCAAACACATTATCTAACAGATGTTCTCAGAAATACTGAATGAGTAAGGGAAGACAAAGAATAGGAAACGTACTTGTATATCCGTGAAGCTAATATATCTGATATTGCTGATCCGAGAACAGGAAGGTGAAAAGCAGTTCATTCCACATATCAGGCACACCAGGTAAGCAGTAATGGCTGCAATCAGGCACTAATGGATTATCACTCCAAGTACCAACATGTGCATCGCTCCGGTATGCCCCCATCGGAGTGACATGCAGTAATGTCACGGGGTTGGATACATTTCTCAGAGTGTCAATAATCATGTCTGAAAACAGATTCTCATCCTTTCCGTTGGTTTCCGACCAAGGCAGTCGTGTCACATTGCATATATCACGGGATTCGTCACTGATTCAAGCATAAGTAGACACTCATCAAATTTAGAAAAGATATATATGTGGAGAAAAAATAGCTTTTACTGTGGAATAGATTTTAATATTAAGATCACAGCTCATGAGATCTTCACAGAACAAAAAAAAAAAACTATATCCAACTGTCTAATGAATCGATCGTTCAATTGAAAGCCCAGACATAAATTTTAAATTTTCAATGGAAGTAATAGCAAAATCAATGGAGACGAGCAGGTTATATCAGAAAATTAAGCACACCTCCAATGAGTAGCTTCGAAAGTCCGAAAGAATACACGTGTCCTATCAGTGTTGACCTTCTTTTCAACCCAAGATTTCCAAGTAGCTAAGGCTTGCTTGAAGGCGCCATTTATCGTCATTCCGAGTTTCATCTTTCCATCAATCTGGAAGTACCAGCCCCTGTCTGAAGAAGCATGTCAGAAGAGTTCTCTGGACAAATTGGTAAAGTAACTTTGCCATAAAGCTTTTACCAGCATACAAAACATAAAAAGCTCAAATAATTTTACTGCAAAAGTAGTGGTCTTAGGATATTAGATGAGTAAGAGGAAAAGCAGTTCAATTTCTTGCATATCATGCTGTCCAACAGAAACTCGTATATCACACACACACGAACAATCATGCATGAGCAGAGTATACCAGAACAATGAAAATTTGAGAACTGAAAAAGATATGACAACTAGGACTAACTCAACCTCAAAAGCTAGCTCATGAGGGGAGCCTAGGAATACCCAAGTCCATATAAGCAAACCACCAATCCATTTCCCAACCAAGGTGGGACTCTAACCCACTCTAATGCCCCCTTTACGCCCAAGCCCAACTGAAGCGTGGACCGGGAGTCCAAGAAGGGATGAACTTAGCTCTAATACCATGTAAAGATATGACACTCATGCCTAACTCAACCCCTAAAGTTAGCTTATGAGGAGAGGACTGCCGAAGTCCCATATAACCAAACCATAAGTCTATTCCCCAACCAATGCGGGACTCTAACATAAAGTCTCTACTGTGATCTAGAACAAACAGATTCTCTAATTTTGTGAAGTAGAGATTTTACATGGAAAGGGGGAAATCATATCTTATCATATAAAGACAGTGACTTGGGTGATGTAAGACTCTCTTGTCTCATATGATGAGGATTCGGCAAGGACAGTGCCAATCTCACCAACTGTTTTTTTGCGGATCTCAGATTCTTCTTAAGAAAACTCTCAACATTTCATAGTGTCCATTTAAATACTACAGATCACAACTGCGACGAATCTACAAGTCTCCTAAACTTATAGCTTATATCAATTATAATGAAATAGATTGAGGGCTTGTGCTATAATTATTTGATGATCAGTAACAACTTCATTTATTTTACCTTTTCAAGAGCATTTTACATAATCAGAAATATACAAATGACAAAAGTTTCCAAGCTAAAGTTCTATCACAATAGAGTTGTAATATATCGTACGAAGAAAACTACCATGGTAAGAAAGGGCATAACATCAAAAGCAAATAGTTTCAAACTAGATAAGAATTGACATCTTCAAGAACAAGGAATTCATCATGAATCACTTACAGTTCAAAAAGCTTCGTGGGAGTCCACCAATGACCGGTATTAAAGATTAGTATATCAGATTGAATCCATTCTTTGCTTATATCATCCATCTTATCAAGCATTAGTGCTTTCTTGATCCTCTTTGGTGAACGTTTTGGTGGCGCACCAGGCTGTACAAGGAAAATTGACCTATAAAACTCAACTGTAAAATTAAACGAACTAAATCGAACTTGTAAATGCCTAATCTGTCTAGTGATCTTTCTTCCTTTGACTTCATATACACTTTTTTTGTCCTCAACACCAGTCATCAATATGCATATCATAGACTCCCATTGAGTTCTACTTAATGAATCACCAACAAAGACAATCCTTTTCCCCCTTAACTTTTCCAAGATTTCATGAACATCAAACCTTGGAATTTCACAATTCCTAGGTTTCCACCTCCACTTAAGATACTCTTTATCCTCCCTCCCATTAGCTAAACAACTAAAACCTTGTTCAGCAAAAGGACATTCTGATGCATTGTACAAAGGATAACTTTCATCAGGCATCCAATTTCCATCAAAAAAATTACATTTACCACTCAAGTTACTTGTTCTATTTTCATTCTCATGAACAATTGGTTCTGGAAAAGAATATGTATTGTAGAAATAACCAGACCCTATTGCCACAAGAAACAACAACAATAAGGGTCCAATCACAAGAACCCCATTAAAAGAATGAAAAACCCAAGTGTGACAATGTTTCATCTTGCCAAAGTTCAAATCTTTAACCAAATCTGACCTCATATGGCCACAAGAACTGAACTTTAACTTTTTCACCATCAGTATGAACACCAAGAACCCTATTAAAACACCCAAATACAGAAAAAGAAAGAAAAAAACAATCTTTATCTCTAAATCAAGAAGTAAAATCAAGATTTTGAAGAAACCCCATGAAGCTAAACAGCTTATTATAGCTGGAAAATTAGTTAAACAAGAAGAATAAATGGATCTTGAAGGTTTTCTGCAGTTGCAGCTGGCTGATTAGGACAAACAGAAGACAATATGGGTAAGAACAGAGGGTATGTTTGTCATTTCACAACTCTCAAAGTGCTTCGGCCTGTCCGAATATGATATATGAACTAAAATTTGGTGGTGAGTAAATATAGCATTATACTAAACTATATCTTTTTATGTTGGAAATCAGGTGCTGACTGAGACAAATTATGCTGCTGGTACGGTTGCAACTCATTGCCTAACATATTTTAATGTAGAAAATTTGTTGTTGTTTTTTTTTGTCTTTCCTTATTGTTTTAGTTTAGAGTCTACGATAGAGTCCGACTAACTTTGAACTGCACAACATAGGGTTCATTCTATGGTAGCACTTTTAACATAATTTTCTTCATATCGAAGCTCGAATTCAAGATCTCTGATTAGGGTGTTTATTTCTCTGACATCTTTTTTTAATGTTACAAATAGTTCCATTCCTTTTTAAAATTAGAGAACAAGCATTATTAAGTAAAATATTAGATTTACATAAAAGTAATTACCTAAATCGATACTTCCTCCGTTTCAAAATAAGTGGTATATTAATTTTTTAATTTTTTTAAAATAAATGTTGTTTTACGATTTAAAAAAGGAATTGATCTTATTCTTCTGAAATTACCCTTGTTTACATAATCAAGGATTATTAATTAATTTTCTTTGATTAGGGGTAAGTTAGTAAAAGGCATCCTTTATTTTTATAGGAATGAGCAAATTTTAAAAAGGTAATTAATACCAAGTGGCGATCCAGTTTTTTGTTTGCACGTTAATTTCAAATTTAAATACATCTTTAATTAATTTTAGAAACTGTAAATTTTAAATTTGAAGCATAAAAGTTAATATAAATTTGTTTTGGTTAATTTTAGATACAGATTTTTTTTTTAAAATAAAATTATTTTTTGAATTTTAAAATTGTTAAATTTTTGTGGTGCTAACATGTGACACTTTTTTCTTCTCCTATTATATATAGATAGATGAGCAATTTCTAAAAGGATATACCAAACTGAAAACGCCACTTATTTTAAAATGGAAAAATTTAAATACATACTTGCACATAATTTCAATTCTCATATACATTTTTTAACTTCACTTCAAAAATAATTTAACTTAAAAAACTACTTAAATGCTTTAATTCTTCAAACGTGCATACAATTTTCAGTTACAAAGTTTAATTTTGAAATTAACTTATTTTATCCACCTTAATTTATAACCACGAAAACCAAAAAGGACACGTGGCGTGCTCCATATTGCCGGCAATTTCCCCTGAAGGTCTTCAATTCCAATTTGACTACTTCCACTTCAGGAGAGAGGATCAAGAATGAATAAAAAATGTTCAAGACAAAAACTTAAAATTCTTTATTCTTTATTTTTATTTTTTTATTATTCTCAAATTATTTTCCTATAAAATATAATGTGGTTAAGAGCTTCGTTAAAAGGAAGGATAAATAAAGAAAAATGTCTCAACTATTTTTTTGAATTTTGAAAATTTCATTTATTTTGAACTATAAAAAACACTCAATAATTCACTTAATATGAACTAGAAGAAGTATATTAAAAGAAATACTGATGAAAGAGATTCAACCATACCTTTCAATACAGTTATGAATCTCATGAAGAGTTTGATTTTCACTCAGGATAAACATTGACGGTAGGCTTAACATATACAAGTTGAATAGAAAAATAATATTTTCTTTATTTCAAAATAAGTGTTGGTTTAAACTATTTTTAGAGATTATTAAAGGTAAGATGAAAGTAAGAAACTCTTTTTTTTGGTTGCCGTGTTTGGTAGAGAGGAATGATATGGATGTTTGTGAAAACAATTGAAGGAAAACATATTACTTGTCATTTTTTAGTTGAAAACATCAAAGAAAGAAATTCTACAAAAGCATAAACGATATGAGTTTGGTGTTCCTTCATCGACTACTTTTTGTTATTTATCGCTAAAAATTTGAAACCATTTTTTTAATTATTATATATAAAAAAAAAAATTAATAGAAACTTTTGTTATTAAGTGAAAATATTACTTGTCAACTAGTATTTGAATCGCTTGTTAAAAATTTAGCTATTATTTGAAATTAATAGAAAAGTAATCACTTTTTAAAGCGAAAATAATATTTGGACAAGAAAAAGAAAATATAAAGAGTTGCTTATGATTGTATTCAAAGGGTAAAAATGGTAGAAAAATTGTGATTCTTTCGTTTCTTTTCCGTTTGAATTTCTTTTTTTCTTTTTTTGGATGGATTTGGATTCTCTATTGTGATAATGGGAGGTCATGTCCTTACTAACTTCAATAATATCATTGACATGTTTTGGCCACTTTTAATAAAGAATTGGTCTTTAAATCATTTAAGAAATTCACCCTTGATCTGAGATATTGCGTTCAAATTTTTAATACTGAAAAATATCATACTAAAAGCGTTGTACTCAGGAATGAACTTTTTGACTACTCAAGTATTACGGAAGTGTTAGATTGTTTGTATTTTTAGAAAGGTAAAATTAAGACTTGAGCCTAAGTCATATCCTAGAGATGTAAAATTAAATTGTCACTACACTCTAATTATTTTGATAAGTCACTTTTATAGCTTGTTTTCATAAAGAGTATTTTCTAATATTTAGTTTATTTAGTTTTTGAACAAATGAATAGTGAATAAGTAAGCAATTTGATCATAGATTTTAAATATTTGTAAAATTGAAATTAAAGATAAAATTGTGTTTAATTATATTTTTGTAAAGAATATTTAAAATAATGACCATGTTTGAATGTATTTAAATACAATTTTAAGAAAAGTGAAAAATGAGTTGGAAAACTATGAAATACAACTTCTAAGTTAAAATATAAAATTTTCATAACTAAATTTTAATTTTTAAATAAAATAAAAAATTAATCAATATTTTATATATAGTCAAACATGTCTAAATCACTCTTTTCCTTTGACTTTACGCGGAGGATTTTAACGTGTCTTTTGTCTTTGAATAATGTTGATATAATATTGGTTTCTTCTTCTTCTCAGCTGACTTTTTTCCAAATTTTTTTAAAAAAAAAAAACAAATGTTGGTGTTTTTCTTCTTGGATATATTTGGTACGACTAAAATTAATTTTCATGAAAAAACAAATATTTTCTTGCTGTTTGATTACTAAAAAATATTTTCATTTAAAAGGAGAAAATTATTTCTTACTTATTTGCCGGAATCATTTTTCCTTCTTTGAGTAATTATAACTATCTTTAACTTCTAACTTCATATTATTTTCTCTAACGTTTGCATATACATTATTATTACTTTGTATCACTCAAAATGTTCATCAAAACACTCTCTGATTTATAAATATTAATATTAATAATCTTTAATATGTATTTAACTTGAAAATATAGGTTTTACTCATCGACCAAATATTGAAAAATATTTTTTAAACCAAATACACCATTAAGTTTACTAAAATAGGGCAATTTTGAGGGAGAATTGGACTTGTAGGTTATTTACAGAAAAAAAATTTATAAGAGATCTTTATTTTTACACTTAAAAATATGAAAAAGTAATTTTATTCTATTCAATTTGTGCGTGGTCAAAAAATCTTATTTCAACCCCTTTTTTTTTAATCTGTGTTGGCACTCTTTATCTTTGGTTTTCTCTTGTTTTCTTCATCTATCTTTGGTTTTCTCTTGTTTTCTTCATCTATCTTTGGTTTCTTTCTCTTGTTTTCTTTTTGAATTTGTTTCTTTGTGTTTGACGATCTCTATCATGTCCTTTTTGCATTGTTTGTCACAATCATGAAAGATTTGACAAAATCAACCAAATGTCATTATAGTATATATATATATATATATATGTGTTAGAATAAGAGGAAATTAGAGCAGCTTAGGATCAAGTTCCAAAATTTACAAAGAGAGGAACTTGTTCTAGAGACCGGAGCCAAAAGGGCAACTTTTTTCTTTAAAAAAACTAAAACGGCACATCAAAAAAAAAATTAACCAATATGGCAAAATCGCTCCATCAGGAGCGATTTTCTTCTGACAAAAGTTGTTGTACATTAAAAAAAAAAAAAAAAATTTCTTCAAAATATAGCAGTGATTTTGGTTAAGAATTTAAAAAAAGAAAGTTTTTTTTTAATTTAATATTCTTTTATTATTATTTATGATATATAATTTAATTTTCCTCATGCTTCAACTATTTTATTGAGTATATTGTCCATCTTGTTTATCATTTTTATATTATTAATAATTAACGATAGGCATGAATAGACATGAAAATAATAACACTAGGCATGAAAATTGCTGCCCCTGCAGTGATGTGTAAGGGGAAAAAAATTCTGATTTAAAATAATAATAAAAAAAATTACAAAATCGTTGCTAAGGCAACGATTTTTCGTCATTTTGTCAGAGGGAAATCGCTTTGTCAGGAGCGATTTTGCCCTTTTGGTTTTAAAAAAATTTGATGTGCCCTTTTGAAAATTTTGACAATATTTTTTGCCCTTTTGGCTCCGGACTCTTGTTTTAGGTGCTTTTAGAGTCAAGTTTAATATTTTTTTGTCCCAATTTATGTGGCACGTTTGGTTTTCTGAGAGTCAAACAATTTAAGTTTGACCGGAAATTTACGCACGGAATCTTAATGTTTTTTTAAATGAAATTTATATATTTGTAAACTACGTAAAGAGTATTACAAGTCACAATAATTGATAATTCAAAATATTTAAAAGATCTATGAAAGATTAAGGTCAAAGAAAAACTTGTTTGAATCTCAAAATCTGATAAATATCACATAAAATGAGACGGGGGAAGTAATTTACAAATACAAGAACTTATCTGAAATTTAACCTTCATCTACTACTTTATCTAATTTGGTGGGTCTCTTCATTAAACAAAACGTGTATGTAGTGTCTTTTTCCTAAGAAACTTTTCGCTTCTTTTTGCGAGTATCTAAAAGTACTTCTCTACATATTTTACCTATGTTAGAACAGATGGCTAACATATATTATTTGAAAATTATGTAAATAATACTATAAATCATAATAATTAATAATTTAAAATATTTATAAAAATATATGGAAAATTTTGGTTG